CTTTTGATAGCTTAGTTTGTCTAGGTTCTACTGAAATCAAATACAAATAGGTAAGGATATACATTCCACCTCAAGAATCACTCAACAACTGTTTCCTCTTCAGCCTTGGCTCCATCCTTCTAGGAAACAATTTCTTATGCACCATTTCAGATTCCAGCAATCTAAAGATTGTGAATTCTTCTAATCATCTTTCAAGTAACTTACTCAAGACTGAATTGTGAATGACTACCCCTTGATGTACTCTATCCTCTAGTTCTGCAGTCAATAATCTTGATGTTCATAATCTTATTTCAGAATTAAAAAAAAAAAATGCTGCAGGGCCTTTAAAATTCCATAACCAAAGACGTGTAAACAGAATAAACTATCATTTGTGGTAGTCAATAGTTTCCAATAATTATACCAAAAACAAACATATAAAAGCTTTTCCAATAATGTTCCAATAAAATTATTTGCAAATAATGTCCCAAAATCAACTGCAAAAACCATTTATCATACTCCTCTCATTATCAATTACTTATCCCTAAATTAATGTAAGAATGTGAAATGGATGAAATTAAACACTATATTACAAATACTTAAAGAAAGGATTTAATTCTATCCTAAAATACCTGATCATAACCTTCTGCATCCGGATTCATCACACATTGCATGTTTGAAAGGCATGAACCATCATTAACCTATAACCATAGGAAAAATGAGAAAAAAAAATCACTTCAAGGTATATGTCAGTATCTAATAAAGCTGTCACTTCAAAAAAAATTACTCCAGGCCTATGTTTGGAACGTATCAATCATTCTTATGAAATCCATTCAGAAATACACGTATACTTAGATTAAAAAATGTAAAAAATCCAGATTTAAAAGGATAAACTAAGCTCATTGCTTAATTCTATTTGGGATACGTTATTCTAATTTCAATTGAAATTTTCCGTATTTTTTTATGACTTCTAATAGAATTTGTCCTCTAACTGAATTAAGTATAAATTTCAAAACAAATACCAGGAAAATTCTTAATTTGTTTCAATCATAGCCTAAAAAACCTGAACACATTTCAATTTTTTGCCATAATCATGCACCAAAATTCCAGTGCCTAGTTTTGACGCGCGATTCAGCTACTGTAAACTGAGTGAATTATCAATAGTTATTATGTAAATTTTAATCTAAGATTTTTAAATTTCCCGTCAACCGATATCCTATTTCTACACATTTTGTCAAGTACTCACCAGACGAGGAAAACACAGCTGATGGAAGAAACCAAAAAAATAAACACTGACCTCCAAGAATGTGACGCTGCTTTGAACCCGGAGAGTCCTGACCCAACCAAGAACAACCAGCTTTTGGCCAACCCGGTCTAATCCTTCATCAGGCCCTACTTTTATATCAGCAATCTTCAATTTCCTCCTAAATTCCCCAACTTTACTCGCTTTTTCGACAAGTTCCATAGTTGAACTCTTGCCTGACTGCGGTGCTCCAGAAATTATGCTGCAGAAACATCTCCGTCGAGTTGTCGCCGGAACAATGCCGTAAAATTGAAACGGGCGGCGACGGAGTAATGGCGGGAGAGCCTGAGGTTTTAGTAGGGTTTTGGGGTAAAAGGAGAGAAAGCGTTTGGCTGAGTAAGGGCTTAATCGGAGAGAAGTGACTGGTGCCAGTGCAGCAGCCATTTCGCTCCCGTTATTCTGCGTATCTTTGGATTGGGTTTCTGTCACTGCGAGTTTACACTTCCATCTGCTATAAAATAAAATTATTGAAATTATTTGGAAAAATATTAATATTATAAAATAATTGTTTGTTTATTTACTTTTAATTAGTTAACTTGGTTTCTTTTGTTATTTTTATATTACTGGTCATATAAATTTTATATTATAATTTTTCCCATTAATTTTTATTTAAAAATTAAATGATAGAAATAAAATGTGTAATATTTTGTAGTAGTCTTAATTCCACAAATGGTCACTCTTGATTTTTTAATTACTTTAATTAAATTTTTATGAACCTCTATTATTGTTTAAATTAATTATTTAATATATTTATATGTTAAAATAAATAAATTTACTATAAATTATAACCATAATTAATAAAATATATGTACACATTATAATTTGAGAGACAAATAAAATAAAATTAGAAGAGGTTATGAAATCCCTTCTCTCCTACTTCACACTTCAGAACGCATTATTCTTTTAAAGAAAAAAATATTTTCACATATTATTAATCTGAAATAGCTGAAAAGAAAAAAAGTTATATTATTTCAAAGTACTCCTAGAAACAGATTCAATAAAAAAGAGGTGGGGCATGTAGTTCAAAAAATTATAGCACTTAATATAACTCAGTTTACAATCAAATAGAATTTAAATAAAATATATTAATTACTTATTTTGATGATGTAATTATATATCTAATTTTTAATTAATCACTTTTGTATTTAATTTATAAATTTATTTATATTTAAGTTACGAGTCTTTACCATTTGAACGTATAATAATGTATGAATTTATTTAAACAAAAAGTGAGAACTTACATATTATTTTACTTTTTCTTGTTTTACTATATTATGACCATTAATAATAAACTCTTTTAGAAATTTTGAGAGTAAAGTTTATTAAATATATCACAATAAAT